TCACAGCAGGTCCGGAGAAGTACGATGCTATCCTGGTAGTAGTGTGCCAACTGACCAAACAGGCCATATATGTCCCTTGTCATACTACGGATAATGCGGAGGACTTCGCTAATCTCTTCATAACACATGTCTTCTCGAAGCACGGGATGCCCTCCGATATAATTTCAGATCGAGGCTCCCTGTTCGTGTCCCAATTTTGGAGGGAGCTTTGTAGAGCACTAGGGATCGAATCCCGCCTATCTACTGCGTATCATCCCCAGACAGACGGACAAATGGAACGAGTAAACCAATCCGTGGAGGCTTACCTTTGGATCTATTGCTCTTACGACCAGGACGACTGGGACCTTCTCCTACCAATGGCTGAATTCGTATACAACAACACCCCAAATACAATGATGGGTGTCTCACTGTTCTTTGCCAATAAAGGGTATCACCCAAAGCTGTCCATTACATTGGAGCAGGTACAAGGAGCGGAGGTCAACGAATACGCATCCAACCTCAAGGAGCTACATGCTTACCTACAGGAACGAATTTGAGTAGCCAATGAGGTCTATGCGCAGTACACAAATCAAAAATGCCAGGAGGCCCCGGACTGGAAGGAGGGTAATCACCTCTGGTTGAATATGGAAAACGTCAGGACGAGAAGACCTATGAAGAAGTTAGACCACAAGTGGATGGGTCCCTACTCAATCTTGGCAAAAATAGGGAGCCATGCTTACTGATTGGACCTCCCTGGGGACCTCCACAAAATTCACAACGTGTTCCATGTAGACAGGCTGAAACCTCATTTCCATGACAAATTCAAACGACAGACCTCCCCGCCTCCCCCAATTTTCATAAAAGGGGAAACGGAGCATTTTGTCGAGGATATCCTTGACTCCAAACCCAAGAAGGGACGACCGGAGGAGGTGGAATATCTGGTAAAATGGGAGGGTTATAGTGAAGAATTCAACTCTTGGGTAGGATGGGAAGGTATGGCAGGATCCCTGGAGCTCCTGCGGAGCTGGCACGAGAAACATCCAAGGAAGCGACAGCCATTGCAGAGATATTGGGCTCGCCTTGTAAAGGATGCACAGGAAGACAAGGAGGACGAAAGGGAGGATAGGAGGTAGGGCCGGAACTGACGACAACAATGAAGGAACAATGGGAACGATATCCGCATGACATTCACGACGAACTAACGACTATGTGCATCGGAGGGTTCAAGCAACCTGAAGGCACCATGATTTCATTCTTATTGATTTTCATATAACTTAAAAGGGGATTTCTCGCATAGAACAGAGGTACAAAAAGAGAGGACAGGATGACAAGAAGACTACGCAAGAAAGGAACACTCCAACGACTCGTCCTTAACGACATCCTGACCGGCCGCCAAGTCAATAACTTCCCTCGCCACAGAAAAGCGACCAGCACTAACCTCCTCTGGCTCATACAGCTCATCGTCATCAACCGTAAGGTCGATGACTAGATTGGCGACGGACCCGAAAAGAGGGGGCAGAGTGGGTGAAGGGGAGTTCAACGACTCCTGCTTGGGCAGGAATAGAGGTACCCGGGGGTGGGGACCGACAGAGGAGGTAGATTCCAGGGCAGCCGGAGCTTCAGGAGACTGCTGGACAAGTACTTTGGGCAACGACTCAGTAGCAGGCTCCACCGACGACATGGGACCTTGGGTATCTGTACCAGACAAAGGAGTATCAGTGATGTGATGAATGTATTGCAACATCAACTGCTCCCAATCAGCAGTCAGCTGGTCAATACTGGGGAGGGCAGGAACAATATCTTCCCACCTCCCAACACCATCGCTATGAGGAAGAGCGGTGGACAGCGCTAACATCCGCCAATGAAGAGGGGGCTCCACGGAATCATCAGGAGGAGGAACAAAACCGGCATGGTGAGCAGCCGTCAAGAAAGGACTATCACTGTTGAATCAAGAGTGTTCCAAGATCATACAATAAAGACCCTCATCCTCATCGACAGCATTGTTAAAAAACCACTGGATACTGCTTATGGTTCGCATATACATGTCTCCATGGACACCTCAAGCTGCCTGTACATAATCCAATGCCAACCGGAAGTTGTGAACAATAACGTCGAGATCATCAGAATCGAGACCACAACGAAGGAAAGCAACCACGGCCTCAATAATCCCCCCAAGGTAACGATGGTAATGATGAAGGACAGTGGCAGGATCACAATAATAAAGGCGATGAGCAAAGGTAGCTACACGGCGGAGGTCCTCATGAGCCTTGTTAAGGTCCCCTTCAAGTTGTGCAAGAGGGGGCAGAACGACCTCGTAATAACCCTCGTCAGGGTACTCCTTGAGCATTTGCTCAACGAAGACTGCACGACTGCGGACCCGATGGACGTCCTCCTGCAACTCCTCCACAAGACAACGTTGACGTGTTGCCAAAGCATTCGATTCATCTACAAGACCTTGTTGGTGCAGTAGGGTGGTCGTCAACTGCGAATTCTTGCGAGTGGAGGCGATTAGTTTCTCCACAGCGACTCTCCGCTCTCTGGTGGCAATTTGAAGGTCTTCCTGCACCTTCCGGAAACGTTCCGAGAGGCTCTGAAAGGAAGGGTTAAACAGGGGAGGAAAACAGGGGGAAAATAAAGTACTCACTTGACCAAGAGCCCCCGGTAGGGCCTCATCCAAGGCAGGGAACTGATCCAAAACTTGGCGGTCTTCCATTTCACGCTCTAATACTTCACGACCAGAGGACCGGAGCTGCTCCACTTCTCGTTGTCGAGATTTGAGAGCAAGCGAGGTATCCCAAAGGGCGGAGGTAAGGGAGGAATTCTCCCGCTGCGAGGTAGCAAGCTGAGACTCCAGCAAATGAATCCGAGCAACGAGGCGCTGATTTTCAGCATGGTAAGGGTGAGCATTGAAAGTGCAAGGTACCAAGGGGGGACGGGGAGAGGGAGGCATAGTGAAGGAAAGGAGGGCCTGCCCAGCACCCTTTATAGAAGGGGAAGAAACGGCTGGTGAACCAAACCAGAATGTGCTTCCGCAACAGTTTCTAACCGAACCGGATCGCTGGGACCCTGCATTGACAAACCCTTGTCAGGTACCTCCATTTGGGAAAGGGAGGCGTAAGGGGGTACAATTCTACTTAGTTGCTCCACTTTTTCTCGTACCCGACAGTTCCACAAGACCTCAGACTTAAACCGAAGTAATGAAATCAACAACGTTAAAATTGGAAGTACAGATATACAACAGTCGATGGGGACTACACTATGTCAGACTCGGTATTCTCCTGCTTAACTGTCACTGCCCCACCCGTCCTAGCAAGGAACTCTTCCTGCGACTCGTACAAATCCTCGGCGTCATCCATAGTTAAATCGACAACCTCGCGAGGGACGTGAGGAACACGAGAGGAAGAAGGGATGGGAGAAGGAGGACAAGGGGAGGTGGGAGACAGGGATCCCGGTAGGAACAAGGGAGCGTCCCGCAACACGGGTTCACTTGCGTCTAGCACGGGACGAGCGTCAGATGCAATCAAGGGGGAAGTTGTCGGCAAGGGATCGTTGGAACCAGGAACTTTCACCAGGGAAGAGACGCGATCTGGGGAGGCAGGGTAACCTAAAACCTCACGCATATAGGCACTAATCATATCCTCCCACATCAACATTACGGAGTCCATCATAGGAACAGCGGGAATATGATCGGAAATGGGACTTTGTGGAAGGGGAATTGGATGACCAAAAGAAAAGAGTTGACGATGTAAGGGCGGTTCTAGGGAATCAGGACGAGCTTCGACGTAACCTGCATGTTGGGCAGCAGTCAGGAACGCTGTATCAGAGGAGAAACGAGAGTGGGTAAGCATGTCCTGGTACAACCCATCAACACAATCAGCAGCATTGGAGTAATAATACAACAAGCTACTGGTCGAACGGAGGTGGAGCTCGCCGTGAGTAAGTCGGCCTTGAGACAGATACTGTAAGACCTGGGTCAAAATAGGTCTTGGGATAGGTTTTGGTATAGGGATGTTTATGTTGTAGCGTGCTAGGAGCAGGCTGGAGCTCGAAGGGAGCTACGGGAACCGCGACCGAGGACGGGAATGACCAAGTAGTGGTTGGGATGACAAGATGATGACCCTTGAGGGGGTTCCTAAGAGGTCTCGAGAGGTCCCTAAGGCGTAGGGAGGTTAAGGAAGAGTGCGGAACCGTACGATATTGCGTAGTAGGAGTTGTACTCGCTAGAACGTCAAAGGAGAGTCGAATAGGTTGTATATGGGAAGGGGTCTCGAGGGTGTAAGCTCTAGAGAAGGGAGGTACCCGTGAGGGTAGGTCCCTGGGGGCTGGGCGCGAGGAGGGGCGTTCTCGAGTGTGGGAGGTGGTAACGGAGAAGCAGTACGTAGTTCGACGTGAGAGGTAGCTTCGACGTTATCTAGATCGAGGTCCCGAAGCTTACGAAGTAGCTAGGGAGCTCTGGGAGGTTTGGAGAAGGATAGCTCACCAAAGCGTGTAGGCGTTGGGAAGCTTTAGTAATATTCGAGGGAGTTCGGGGACTCACTCGGAAGGCTTAGACTTGAGGTAAAAGCGTATATTCAATCGTATAGACGATCAGAGAGACGATAGATGAGAGTGAAGAGAAATAGAGGTAATGAAACAGAGAGTAAAGAGAATTCCGTATAGGTAGCAGGTACAAAGGGACAGGGACTGGACCTATGTAAAGGGTGTGTGTTCAAAATATACCAAGCTGGGCTTCTGGACGCTACTGGACTGCTTAAATACGTATAGGGAAGTTAACAAAGAGACATAGTACGAAACAGGCACTTAATGGGGTTTCTAAGTACATCAGGACGGAATGATGGGCGCATGTGCGGGGTTCCAGGACCCTGTCGTGGAGTGGTTCGGTTGCATTGAGGGGAACTAAGATTAGTGGAGGTTGTCCTAGCCGTGAGGAGGTTTGCGGCGTTGGGAGTGTTCTCAGGGGTTCAGGGAAGTGGTTGAGGAGGTAAGGGGGGTTGAGGAGGTTGGGAACTACGTCAAGGAGCTTATGGGCTATGGAATTTGGGGCGAGGCATGACAGATACTCCAGAGCCAATTCGACAACAGTTCTCATCCGTTCCGGAGGATGGAGGAGACTACGCGACAAGAGTGTGATGATCGCCTCAATGAGACCTCCCACATACATGTTGTGATGGTGGAGGAGGTTAGCAGGGTCTGCAGAATACAACTGATGTGCAAAAGTGGCCATACGACGCACCATCGCCTCGGAAGCCGTCAACTTATTCTGCAAGGAGGAGAGCGAGGGTAGATCCACCTCATACAGCCCCTCATCCTCAGGATATTTACGAATAAGCTCCTCAGCGACATGAGCCTGTGCTCAATAGCGATGGACGGTTTCTTCAAGGTCCTCCAGACGGTCCCGTAAACGTATAACATGCGCGTTAGCAGCATCCAGCTCCTCATGGGCCTCAAAAGAACGCTTCTGTTCCTTGTCGACCTGTTCTCGAAGCTCCAAAATTTCCTGCTTCTGCCTTATGGCCACTTCCCTATAGGAGTCTACCTGCGCAACCACAAGATGAAACCATGTAAGCGCGTCCTGGGGTCAAGAGTTACCAGTCAGTAGAAAATAAAAAGGAAGGAGGGGAACGACTCCTACCTCCAAGGGAGCTTCCGGCAGTTCAGCTTCAATAGCCCTAAACTGAGCCAGAACATGGGAATACTCCAGGCGATCTGCTGCGACATCTTGCAGGGCACGACGACTCGCCTCTAGGTCCTTGTTACGATCGTCCAAAGAAGTCGTAGTGTCCCGAAGGAGGGAGGTGAGCATCGAAGTTTCAGCCCGGGATGTCTCCAGAAGCTTGCGGAGGTCTGCTACTTCGGCCCGTAGAGTTTCATTTTCAGCCCTTAAAGCAGCAGTAGCTCGAGCTCGGGGAAAGGGATGGAGAACATCGGGGGAACGCTGGGGTACAGGCATAAGACATAAGTTACGACCCGAGAATAGGAAGGAAGAGGACTCACCTGAGAAGGAGGAGGAGTTTTTATGGTCACCACTGACCGACGTTCCGACAGCACCAGGGGAATAAACTGGTTCGACGAACCAGGCCAATTGGATCTTTGGTGAACCAGGAGACCAGAGGAGCGATCCTGAGATAGTAAAGGAGGAACTCCTGTGCTCCCTGTTTCCCCCAAAGGAGGAGAGGAGTGCATGACCTTGTTAAGATCATGTACACCGTGTAACCGTGCCAAAGTCACAAGGTGTCTAAGTGCGGAAGACGAGTGGGACAGTAGTGAAGTTATTAACAACACCGCCGTTACGCCGTTAGTCCCCGGAGAGCGAGAGTAGAGAGAGAGGAGCTAAGTAGCAGCCAGGTCGGAGCGGCGGTATCGCCGATGACGAGGAGCGGACCAGAGAACGTTAAAGTCCTAAGGTCGAGGAGAACGTACTTCGAGGCGTTGAGCCTGAAGACTTAGAGAAGAGTTAAGTTGAGAAGGGAGATCTAAGTTGATCTAAGTCGATAATTAAACTGAGGAACTACAGTAGCGTACAGGCAGTATTTATATTTACGGAATGGCGCAGCGGTGCGGAGCGCCAGACTAACTACTAGGAGCTATACGAGTAGTACCTGCAGGGTAGAGTAAAAGACAATAAGGAGGGACTAGAACGAAAGGGTATGTGTAGCGAGAAAGAACAATAAGAGTGAGATTACAATAAGGAGCAGATCTTCGGAATACCGAGCGGCGGAATGGAGGCCCGCGGCATGGACTTGACAGACCTCCTCGACACGACCACCAGACAAAGGGGCCGAACCAGAGGTATCGACAAGGGGGGGGCGAAGAACCAGCACCACCCTACGGTAATCTGGGACCTCAGCATCCCGACCCTCCCCAGCAGAACATTTACGTTTGCGGTCGTGGACCTTGGGAGATACCTCAAACTCCGGAGCTGCTCCAATGGGATGCTTGCGAGAAGAAGGACCTCCCTCCTCCTGCCGGACAGACCTTTTTCTCTTTTTCGCCATTACGCGTGGAGTCGGCACGACGGAAGGAAGGGGGGAAGGCAAGGAGCTGGTGGTTAAAGGTCGGGAAAGCTGAGGCTGCTGTTGACGGAACTCTCTGAGCTCCAAACGATCCAGCTCCCGCTGATCTTGCTCGTCCAATGCATTTAGCTCCATCAAGGCGACAGTGGAATTCGTACTGGCCTCGACCTTCGCCGCAATGTCCCTCCACTGCTCGGAAGGGAGAGCGAAATGGGTTCGCTGACCCGGGTCCCCATGCACCTCCAAAAACCTTCGAGCAAATGCTAAATCGCGAGAACACTTACACAAAAAATAACGGAAACGAGCAAGCCTACCCAGAATGCAGGGTTTCTTATCATTGCAGTTACTACAACGAGCAAGGTGGGGAACGACAGAACAATTTGCCTCCTTCTTGCCTCTAACACAGAAGGTGCAAGGGAGACTGGCAGCCGCTAGCAATGGCCAAAGGGGATCGTCGACGATATACCTTGCCAATGACACACCTACACCGAAAACAAACCTAAATAATGCCAGCTGACCTAGAGGGGGCTCCTCAAGGGTGCTAGCCAGCTCATCGATAGCAGCATCCACAATTCTTTCCGCGGAATCGGGGTGGGGCGGAGAAGACACCGGTGGCAAGACGGGGTTGGGAGCTCCAGTAACGGCGTTGGAAGAAGGGGAGCTCATAGTAATCGAGTTTAACTCGGAGAACGATGAAGAAATGCTGAAAGGAACAAGGAACAACGGGAAACGAACTTATAAACGAAAAAAGTCGAGTCACGTGGAAAGCACATGATGGCAGCAGGAACCTCCTCGGAGGCTCGGAGGAGTAGAGGGGGGGGTAATGTCATGCCTCACCCCGAATTCCTTAACCCATAAGCTCTTTAACATAGTTCCCGACCTCCTCAGACCCCTTCCATGAATCCCTGAGAACACTTCCAACGTCCCACAGACCTCCTTACTGCTAGAACCACCTCCACGACCCTTAGCTCCCTTCCATTCAACCGAATCACTCCACGACAGGGTCCTGGAACCCCGTACATGTGCCCATCATTTCATCCTCATGTACTTAGGAACCCCATTAAGTGCTCGTTTCATACCATGTCTCCTTGTTAACTTCCCCATACGTATTTAAGCAGTCCAGTAGCATCCAGAAGGCCAGCTTGGTATATTTTGAACACACACCCTTTAACATAGGTCCAGTCCCTGTCCCTTTGTACCTGCTACCTATAAGGAATTCTCTTTACTCTCTATCTCTTTATCTCTGTTTCTCTCAACTCTGTCTATCGTCTCTACGATTGTCTATACGATCCAATACATGCTTTAACTTCACGTCTAAGCAACCCGAGTGAGTCTCCAAGCTCCCCAACGCCTACCGCCTTAGTGAGCTAACCTATCCAAAACCTCCTTGAGCTCCCCAATTGCTCTGTAAGCTCTGGGACCTCGGTCTAGGTAACGTCGAACTACTTGCTGCTTCTCCGTTACCACCTCCAACACTCGAGGATGTCCACCTCCAACCCCCAGTTCCCGGGACCTCCCCTTCCGGGCGTATACCTTCTCAGGAGCTTATACACTCACGACCTATTCCCCATATGACCTATTCGATCTCATGTTGACGTTCTAGCGAGTACAACTCCTCCTACGCAATGCTACTAGGTTTTGTACCTCCACCTCCTCTATTTTATGCCTTAGGGACCTCCCTGGACCTTACAGGAACCCCTTCAAGGGTCACCTCTCTCAATCCCAGCCACTACTAGGTCATTCCCGTCCTCGGTCGCGGTTTCCGTAGCTCCCTTCGAGCTCCAGCCTGCTCCTAGCACGCTACAATGTAAACTTCTCATACCAAACCTATCCTAAGACCTATTCTGACCCAGGTCTTACACTAACGGCGTAACGGCGGTGTTGTTAATAACTTCACTACTGTCCCACTCGACCTCCGCACTTAGACACCTTGTGGCCTCTGGCACGGTTACACAGTGTACATGATCTTAACAGGTTTTCTGATGTCGTGGCTCTGTTCATAACATGCCAGAGGTAGTGCCTGCTGAGAATAGTTGAGGCCCACCCAACCTTTCAAATTATTGGACCATCATTGGATTACTTACCACATAAGCAGGGTGTGCGAAACATTGCACAATACAGTAAGCTTCTAGCTGGGAGGCGAGATCCGGATAATTTAACCTGTCCGTAATTCTGTTAGCCAGATTCTAGAACAGGATTTCCATGCCCGTGCCACCTCTTTTCAGTCACTTCAGATTCTGTTGACTCTCATGTATGGAATTCTTTGAGTCTTTTCCTGACATCACAAATACAGAGCTTGCCTCCCATTTCTTATTCGCCTATGCCACTGCTTATATGCCCAAAGCGCCCTCTTTAGCGCTCTGTGTGGCAGCCTTATCAACGGACTGTGTGTTTTATGAGAAGCTTCAAGATGCCCACAAAACACGAGACACAGAGGCTCTTAAAACTCTCTGTAGTGCGTTCGCTCATCTTGCTACCTCAAGATTATGCTCACAACAGATTTTCAGTTCATTTTAATCGAAATGCATGGCGATTTCATCCTCAGCTCGCAGAAATGAACAAATCAATTCAGGAAATATACTCGAAAGGGAGGATAATGAAGATTGCAAGAGGAGAATGGACGCGGCCTATCTGGACTCCCAACACAGCGACTGATGAAAATCTTGAGACCAATTTTCATATCCAAAACCTTCAGATCCCGGAAGGTAATAATGGCGAAGTACCTCTTGTAGTTCTTTACAAGCTAGGCAGCTTTCAACGTGATCCTAAGCTCAAGGCAAAATTGGATCGAATATTCTCCCCTCACGCCAACACGTACGTCGCCACAATTTTCTTGATTTATTGTCAGTCATCCTGATACTATCCACTTAGATTCCTTGTCAATACATCTGGTACAGGAAAAACCAGACTCCTCTATGAAGGGTTATGTCTCCACTGGGGCTTTTATTTCACATGGGCCCTGGATTCATTCTTTTTGGGAGGCGAAGATATCCCGTCCGTTGTAGACGAGGTAGATTCTGAACCTAGATGGACTCCCTATCTGCCACCCGCTTCCAGTGCGAGACATGCTTCATCTCTACAAACCAACAGGAACATTGTTTACCGTGCGTCTGATGAAGCCCTATTGGCTCGACTGCTTCTGTTCAAGATGTATCTGCAGGCTTGTTGTGCGTTTGGTCTCTGTCATCGTCATCGACAACAGTAGCTAGAATCGCAAATTTTCCCTGACAATATCACTTCTTACTATGACCCTTTTATAGTAATCAAGTGAGATATCAGTAGTGCCTGTATCAGTGACCCCGATCTCGACGAGGCCATAGTGCACACTTTAGAAGAAATCCAGAGCATGTGGGACATCCCTACCGGAGAGTTAGGCAGCTTTGGGGTTCAAACCCAAAAGGTTGGGACTTTGTGCAGGTTTCGCCCTTGCGAAGGGGCTCATCAGAGCGCTTAACCGCTGCCCTAACCCGCCGGTTCTACTTTGCAATGATAGATCATGACTCCCTATTCACGGGGTGGAGTATGCCATGTGGTGCCGTCCACATGGTTACCCGATCCAATTTGCAACATCGGCATAGCATCGGGGACCATGGCATGTGTGTAGGTATTTTAGTGTGGGTGATGGATCTGGGGGGCACCCTCCCCATTAAGCCAATATCAGAGTGCCTGCCGCACAGCTCTGATGAGAGGCCGGTCCATGGCCACCTGACGTAAGCCAGATGGACTTCTGTGTCTGTCTATCTGTATATAGCCCAAATATAGCCGCTTGCCTATATTTGTCAACTAGTCTGGCTGTCTCCAAAGATAAGGCGGAATAAGTCATATAAAGTTCTTTTATATTGTGTTGGATGAGGCAAATGTGGCATCACAGAAGCATAAAGATGCCTTTGAAGATGAACATGGGCGTTATCCAATTTTGAAAGAGATCATTCGCGCCCTGCGAATGCGAGTGGCACACTTGCCTGTCAAATTTGTTGTTGCAGGTACCTTGATTCCTGAGAAGCATTTTCGTTTGAACGTTGGCAAGCCTGAGTGGGATGATTTTCATTGGTGTTCAGACACAGGTTTTTTCGATAATCAAGATCAGCATTGACATTACATCTCGCAATCTTTGCCATCTGAATTTGCGAAATTGATTGCTGGGCAAGCTCTCTTAAAACGAGTGTGGCAATGGCTGCGAGGACGGTTCGTGAGCTTGCGTTACGCAACTTGACTGATTACGAATTGTAGGCATCGTTACACAGCTGCCTTTATCTCAATACTATTGGCCAATAATTTTGAGAATACTCATACGCTTTTAGGAAATTTTGTTGAACGGGTTACGCTATACATGCCTCATGACAACAATGTTTATTCAAATGGGGAGGATGAAGAAAGCTACAATTCTTGGTACTCTTCATTGGGATCGAGTGGCTTACGTGAAGGTATGAATTTTCACGGATTCGTTGAGCTTTATTGATCAGACTGAAATAGGATCAATCAGTACTATCAAGATGCACCGATCGGTGACGACATTTTTGACTACCTCGCAAGGATGCACTGATTGTGTTGCAAAAGAACGGATCCTCATTACTGAAGATTATGGCTACTTCGTCGATGAAACCTGTTCTCAAATCGCTTTAAACGAACCAATGCCAGTCACGTTTGGAGCCGAATGGTTTACTAATGCAAATCTCAAATGCAAAGTCATGAAATTGGAGACATTTGCTTTTTATCATGGCACTGATACACAACCTTCTCATTTTGCACTTCATCAGGAAAACCGTCCCCTTGAAATCATTAACAATTGACGATTACCTACAGAAAGGGTTGATGAAAGTATCGAACGTACGGAGATATCACAGATTTGGGAAATTTCAGAAATTTCCGAAATTTGGCGGCCCACTTTGAAATGTCATGAACTTTCTTGAAGCCTTTGAACACTTTGAGCATCCTTTGCAATGTTTTCACATATGGTCCTAGTAGGTTTCTGAAATTTCGAGCATTCTTTAAGTCAATGTATCTCATGGTTGCAGTAATATTGTATAAATAACTATGTTTCGAGCATAATTACGTTCAGGTTTATTCATTGTTCATTCAACGAAGTAAAATGAGCATATTGATTAGCAGAGGCAGTATGTATTGTGGTCTTCGAGATCAATGAGAGATTGGAAACAAGAAGTAGGTAAGGAGAGAGAGAGAAGATAATGTCAATCCAATTATGTACTGATCGTAGTAAGAGCAGGAGCAGTTGAGGCTTCGGTTCCAGAATGTGCCAATGCAACATCGTCAGAGTCACCTACAGGGCTGGGGTAGACATGAGCATGATCATCTCCGTTGCTGTCATCATCACTGTTCTCGATAGCATCCCAATCAATAGCATCAAGATGTTGCTGATTGCACCAGCCATCTCGAGCCGTCATCGAATTCCCACTAGAAAATTTGATAATGAGCTACTATTGATCATCATGTCAATGAAAACTCACGTCGCTTCCACAAAAAGCTTGTGCATGAGCCTGTGGTACTTCGCATGATTCCTACTTTCAATCCCTTCCAAAATGTCAATAGCTAAACCCCAAACCCCATCGAGTTCTAGGGCTGGAAAGCTGCTCTTCATTCCCGTCAAATAATCATGTAGGCAAGCATGAATCTAAAAGAAGTTAATAATGATAGAATAGTCAGAATGAGAAACGACATACCGCCGCAGCTGCAAGAGCTACCATACCTTTGGTTACCTCAAGCTCTTCTGACTTCTCGGAGATCAAAGATTTGAATAGATAAAAGTTCTGCCTGACAATGCTGCCATAGTAAGTTGATGAAAAAAAGCTTCCCGCAGAAAGCTGGCAAAGACAGGGTGTTCGAAAGGCTTCCTGTAGTCTGGCTTTGAATCGTGCATCAATAAAATACATTGAAGAAAGTTTCGGGAGCTCACCATCCCATTGGGCATTTCGGGATAATAGTAGGTGCGTCTGCGAGCCAATACACCTGCTTCGAGACGGCCCACATGGTCTGCCAATCCAAATGCTTGAAGGATGGTTGAAGAATGAGCCTTGAGATCAGCATGTTCATTTCCAATGCGTCTACTGACCTGTGAAGAGATGTTATTGCCTGTGTTAGAGTCAAGATAATAGCTCGCATAGGTTACCAAGGGAATACTGTATGAATCGTGGTCTCCACGCTCAAGCCGGTCACAGACATCATTTTCCCCATCATGACCTGACCTTTCAGCAATCTCCATGAGACACGCGTGCGCCATCTGTTTGATTTTGAATGTGTGAAGCGGCGAGTATTCATGGTTAAAGATCATTTGCAGTTTCCCATAGGTGATGGATTTGTCGATGATTTGAAGCATAACTGGTGGTTGCCCAGTCTTAGCAAGAGTGAATGTTCGAACCTTTTTGATGACGTGAATGTTTGTGCATTCCAACCACGCTGGAGCTGCCGAAGCAGCGTTGAGCTGATTGACAGCAGTGGGAGTAGAAGTGTGGGTAATGGAAAGTGAACGAGAATGTACTTGAGGGAGTTGATTAATGGCAGTGGGAGCAGCGGTGCGGGTAATAGGAAGTGGACGGGAACGAACTTGAGGAAGCTGAGAAAGAATTAGTGGAGCAAGAGGCTGTGAATGACGATGCACCTCAGATTGTAATTTCTGAGCTTGATGACGGGTTACCTTCTTGACTATTTGCTGTAACGTATCACTGGTGAGAACCAATAATAACTAGATACAACTGTGCACGTACCTCGCTCTCTTCTAATTTATTGGCCAAAATGGGTAAGACTGATTCAGTAGAACGACCAGATCTGGAGTGAGAGGTAGAATTAGCTGTGCAAGTATGATTATTGAGCTTCGAAATGATATACTGTACATAATCAAATGTGCCATGCGAGAACTGAACGGCCTTCACATAGATCAGAGACAAGAACTATCACTCATAGTTGTAGTACGTACCTCAGCTTGAATGTAATTTGATGCCCGTGCGTCATCTTTGCACTCTCCTTCAACCTCTGCCTCTGCATCAAGTCCGTCCTCATATTCAGATGTGTCATTTTCATTTTCATCATCTTGTTCTGGTTCCGATTCTGGCTCTAAAGTCTTCTTTGCACGTTTGTGCTTTGTTGGAAGCAGTTGTTCTATCAAGGAAGGTTAATACTCTGAGTGTTAATGCTTTAAAGTCAATAGTCACCTTCATCAGAGGAAGAATCTATTTTGATCTTGGGTGCAGAATACTTGGGACCTATGAAGGTAAAGTTATAAGGAAAGCATTATACAATATGAAGGAAAATGGCATACGGGAAATTGAGGGTGTGACATAGCCTGATTTTGTTGGAAGAGGTGTCGTTCTTGCCCTTGATTTGTTATTTGCTGCAACATTGGTAAGGTCAGTTATGCTATAGTATCGAAGTAGGAAAATAGCAGACTCTGAGTTTTTCTGGTCTTAATTGTTTTGCTAGTGAGGTTTACAGAATTGCCAGCTCGAGCGCTCCGTCGAGGTTGAATGACATCTGCAGTCTCTGTGATGACTGAACTATTAGGCTGGGATATATGTTTGCGTAACCGTTTTGATGACTGAGGAAACATATGAAGTAGTGAAAGTAGGAGATAAATATTAAATGATGGTGGAATTAATAAAGATAGCTGGACAGTGAAAGAAGGGAAGTTGCAAGACCAATCCCTGGGTTCCATTTATGGACTACAACTTACATAACCTAAAACTCTGCTTTCCAGGAGACATGCTGCAAGCATGTGGTCACAGTTAGTACAGTTTACTGTTGCACTCATCCTTCTACTGATCTTTTGATATTCTCACCACAAAATGTCGAATAACTCTTACACTTGTTCTGGCTGTGGACAAAATTATAACCGCTCATCTGATCTCATTCAACATTTGGAGAAAACCCATCAACCTGCATGTCAAGAAGCATATGAAGCTTCTAAACAAGCTATCCATCATAGTCGCTTTATGTCTCCCGTAGACCCTCTAATTTATCACCACTCCCAATTTTCCAGCTCTTCTATTCAGGCACATTTGGCTTCTCAAGATGAGGAAGATGATCCAATTCACCCATTTCAGGGTGATTTTTTTGGTAATGACTACTCCAATGAGGACTTTCCAGGGTTTGATGATGATGATGATTGTGAAGATGATGAAAATGGGAATGAGGAAACTGAGGCTGATCTTGACCCCGAGCTTGAGCCCACCTGGGAACCTGCGCGGGAGCCTGCATCTGTTCTGCAGGAATATGATGAACAAAACACAAGTATAGAGACTGGAGTAGATGATGAAGATGAAGATGTTTCTATGCAGGATGGAAAATCCCTTCTCCGTCACCTGCCTGCCCATCGAGAAGAAATTCATATTGAGCAATTTGGGGGTCAGGCTGGGGCAATAGTAGTTGAACATGACCAAGAACATTCCTTGCCTATCTTTCATGACTCCAAAGATAGGTTTCTTCATTATGAGGCTCATATACCTGGCATCAAAGAGAATAAGTGGGCACCATTTGCCTCACGTATGGACTGGGAGATTGCACGTTGTGCCAAACTCCGTGGTACTGGATCTACTGCATTCTCGGAATTGCTCGCTATTGATGGTGTATGTGTTTAATATTATGTATTCCTCAAATTCAATACTCAGAAAATCTTTGATTAGGTATCTGAGGCTCTACAACTCTCATACAAGAATAGTGATGAATTAAACTCAATTATCGACACTAAACTTCCAGCCCAAAGGCCTGCTTTTGTTCGCCAGGAGGTCGTGATTGCTGGAGAGGCATTGGATCTGTATAAACGACCAGTGATGGAATGTATTCAAGCTTTGTATGGCTCACCTGAGCATGCACACTATTTATGTTTGACACCTGAACGACACTATTCTGATGCCAATAAAACAAATAGGCTATATCATGATATGCACACTGGAAAATGGTGGTGGAGTACACAGGTACATATAAAACTTCTTGCTTTCCTGTTATGCTATTCCTACTGAGAAACTCTACAGAAACAGCTTGAAAAGGATAAGCCTGGTGCTACTATTGTTCCTATTATCCTGTCAAGTGATAAAACTCAGATTACATTATTCCGGAACAAATCAGCATATCCAGTGTACTTGACTATTGGAAATCTTCCAAAAGAGATCTGCCGAAAGCCTTCACAGCAGGGTCAAATACTTCTTGCTTATCTCCCAACATCACGTTTACAGCACATTACTGTTAAAGCAGCACGAAAACAGTCAATTGCAAACTTATTTCATGCTTGTATGGGTGATTTGCTTGCCCCACTGAAAGAGGCTGGTGTAAATGGTGTTGTGTTATCAAGTGGAGATGGCATTAGACGGCGTTGCCATCCAATCCTTGCTGTTTATATTGGTGACTATCCAGAGCAGATGCTTGTGACATGTAGTTATTATGGTACCAGTCCTGTGTGCACAGTCTCAAAAAATCAGCTTGGTGATTATCCCTGCTCTGCAGAGCTTCGTGATCCTGTTAAAGCTGTTCAAGCTGCTAAGTTAATCAACACTGCTGAATGGACAAAGCATTGTAGTGATGCTGATATGAAGCCCATTCAACATCCTTTCTGGGAGGACCTTCCTTATACAGACATTTTCCGCTCAATAACACCAGATATTCTCCACCAGATGTATCAAGGGGTGATGAAACATCTCATTGTATGGATCACAACCATTGTTGGGGCTGATGAAGTTGATGCACGTGTTCGACGACTCCCAGCAAGACATGGAATCCGTCATTTTCACAAAGGCATTACCACACTTTCATGGGTCAGTGGTACTGAGCATAAGCAGATGTGCACCTTCCTTCTTGCTTTGGTCACTGATATACCCAGAAAGACCACATCACAATCAAATCGCCTTTTGATTGCAACCCGTGCATTACTTGACTTTCTGTATTTGTCATGTTATCCTATTCACAGTGATGAATCTTTGACCATGGTTGAAACTTCTCTTTCCACTTTCCATGCCAACAAAGATATTTTCATTGAGCTTGGGGCTTGAGAACATTTCAATTTTCCTAAAATTCACTATCTATGCCATTTTGTCCCTGGGTTCAAGCTCTTTGGTACTTCTGATAACTATAATACAGAAACCACAGAACGTCTCCATATTGACTTCACCAAGGATGCATACCAAGCTTCAAACTGGAAGGATGAGTATTCTCAAATGACAAAATGGCTGGAACGACGTGAAAAGGTGGTACAGCACACCAATTACCTTTCATGGTGCAAGTCTCAGAGGGGTCTAAATCCTCAAAGCATCCCTTTTATTGTCCCAGGGGTCCGTTATGACTTTCCAGGTTCCCAAAGATCATTACAAGACATGCAGTGTAGCTTAACACATGTTCTGACAAAGTTCCTTACTCGAAAAATGGTATCATTCTCAAAGCTCATGCAAATAAAGCCAGACCAACAGGGCTATGGAGCATTTAATTTTGAGTATGCATTGAAAATGTTCATTGTTCAGCACAGTGATCCTCAGTCTACTACTATTGGCCAAATTGAGGATATAACAACTTTTCTTTCACTTCCATTCCAAAGTGTACCAGTCTGGCATAGGATCAAATTCAGGAATGAGGACTTATATGGAACTAAGACCCTTGATGTTGTGGCTGCACATCCTCATTGTTATAATTCACATGGCCAAATTACACAGATCTTTCAATTTGATGCAGCACTGATCCGAGTTCAGCCAAAGGTTGATGCTAGCAACTTGGACTTTCTCCAAGGTAGGCATAATTTCTATACTCTTCATGACTAGACTCTTACTTGGTCCTAGGATTACAAGTTGGCCGTATTCGTGTCATTTTTTCAATCCCATCTCAGCACCTTGCTCGTCTCATTCTTCCCAAGGGTATTGTGCTGCCTACACATTTAGCATATGTTGAATGGTTCACAAAATTCTCTCAAAAACCAGAACCTCATAGTGGTCTTTACCGTGTCAAACCACTTTTTAACAGAGATGGCTCTCGAGCTGCATCTGTGATCTCTGTAGAGATGATACAACAAAGTGTACATCTGTATCCCAAGTGGGGTGGAGTAGTACCATCTATATGGTCATATGAGTCAGTATTAGACCAAAGCCCTTCATTTCTTGTCAGTCCTTTCACAGACATCCACACATACTTCAATATGTCATAGATTATTCTGTAGAGCATTCTGATAGCCTCAAAACTGTATGATTTTGGGTGATAATGCTTGCACATCATTTAGCTACATATGTGTCTACTTTTTACTGCTTAGCTATAGACCCTTGGATTTCTGCATGACTCAGTGGTATATTACATCGTTTGATTGATCTTGAAGTTTACATTGAAGAGAAGAATTAAAGACAATGCAAAGAAGCTCTTGGCTTAATTTGTTAACTATGTGAACTTGAGGTTTAATGAGGACTATTATACCTATATAGTTCAGAAATATATCAAACAAGTTCGAAATAAATTGGTTTTGTATGACATTTCAGAAATATCAGAAATTTTGAAAATCTAGGTTTGGTTTGTCACACTTTTCGAAAATTTCATGTAATTGTCTCATATTTCAAGGGGACGGTTTTCCTGATGTTTCCTTGGCATTGTCTCTTGCATCCTGTTAACATTTGATGACTCACATACCATCTATGGAACATTGTTCTCTTATTACAAACCACTATCTCACTATCGTGTTATTAGTCTCACCGTTGTGTTATCAATCCCACCATTGTGTACTATTACTATAGGACTACCAGTAGGATACATCGTATTGTACTTCCTTTCTCTCTCGCTATGTTTAGCTGTAACATGACATCGTCTATGTAAGACCTGGGTCAAAATGGGTCTTAGGGTAGGTTTTGGTATGTGGAGGTTTATGTTGTAGCGTGCTAGGAGCAGGCTGGAGCTCGAAGGGAGCTACGAGAACCGCGACCGAGGACGGGAATGACCTAGTAGTGGTTGGAACGACGAGAGGGTGACCCTTGAGGGGTTCCTAGGAGGTCCAGGGAGTGTCAAGTCCATGCCGCGGGCCTCCATTCCGCCGCTCGGTACTCCGAAGATCTGCTCTTATTGTAATCTCTCCCTATTGTTCTTTCTCGCTACACATATCCTTTCGTCCTAGTCTCTCATTATTGTCTTTTACTCTTTCGTTCTAGTCTCTCCTTATTGTCTTTTACTCTACCCTGCAGGTACTACTCGTATAGCTCCTAGTAGTTAGTCTGGCGCTCCGCACCGATGCGCCGTTCCGTAGATATAAATACTGCCTGTACGCTACTGTAGTTCCTCAGTTTAATTATCAACTTAGATCGACTTAGATTCCCTCTTTCACTCTGTGCTCCTCTAAGTCTTCAGGCTTACTGCCTTGAAGCTCTCTCTACTCTACCTTAGGACTTATACGTTCTCTGGTTCGCTCCTCGTCACCGGCGTTATCGCCGCTCCGACTTGGCTGCTACTCAGCTCCTCTCTTCTATACTCTCGACCTCCGGGGACTTACGGCGTAACGGCGGTGTTGTTAATAACTTCACTACTGTCCCATTCGTATTCCGCACTTAGACACTCTGTGACCTCTGGCACGGTTACACGGGTTACATGATCTTAACAGTATAATTAAACTCAATCCGTTAACGTCGTACTGACATATCATTTTTTATGCCTCCGAAAACTCGAGCTCAATCTAGAGCTAACTCCGAAGAAAACACTTTCTTCACTACAGCTCAATCATTTGCCCCATTCTCCGACTCTATCTCTGCTATCGGTCAACCACGTCGCCGTAATCGCGGTTTCGGTCCAGCTACAGTCCCAACTACGTCGACTCTCCCTGAAGCCATGGAAGAGGAACAACAATTCGAATACAGCACCCTGTACACTGGGGACGGACAACCTGTCCAAGTCCTGACCCCTCGCCGTGGACAACCCCCCGTGGTCGCTCCGGCTCGGGGCCGGTCAACTGCTCGAATTGATTCTCCAATTCTCCAAGCCATAGCCCGCCGTACGGGAAAACAACCCCAACGTCGAGCTGCTTCTGAATCTCCTCGTGACCCACCTCCTCACTTCGATTTGGACACTGGTGATCACGATGATCAAGACCCTCCTGTCGATCCCGACGATCCGGGTGCCGACAACAACAATGACGATCTGGATGACGACTCCGGCGGTTTACCGCGTGGTGAGCCTGGTGACCCCAGTGGGCCTGGCGGTCCCGGCGGTCCCGGCGGCCCTGGTGGTCCTGGTGGACCTGGTGGACCTCGTTCCCCAATCTCTCCTGACATCCCCAACGAGCAACGAGCTATGTTGGAACTCCTCTCGGGGTTCAAGGGTTCCATTGAGACCCTTGGTACCGTCCTCGCCGCCCTCGGCCGCCCTTCTGACAGCTCTGAATCCAAGAGCAAGGTCAAGGAGCCAGAGGTCTTCGACGGTTCGGATCCCCGAAAACTCAAGACGTTCTTCGTCAATCTCGCCCTGGTCTTTAATGACCGTCCAAAGTACTTCACCGACCAACGGAAGGTGAACTATACCCTTTCCTATCTCAGTGGGTCAGCCAAAGAATGGTTTGTCCCTGATATCCTCGATCCGGATCTCGACTCGCTGCCGGCCTGGACGTCCTCCTTCAAGGCCCTAGTAAAGGAGCTTCAGGACAATTTCGGCGTTTACGACGCCCAAGGCGAGGCCGAAGATTCTCTCGGTAATCTGAAGATGAAGGAAACCGAGAACATCCGGAAATACAATATCCGGTTCAACACCCTGGCTGCTAGTACCAACTGGGATTCTGCTGCCCTGAAATGGGCTTATGGACGAGGCTTAGCTGAGCGCATCAAGGACGAAATGGCGCGTTTGCCCGAGCCGGCGACGCTCGCCGATTATCGTCAAGAAGTTCTTCGTATTGACAATCGTTATTGGAAACGCGAGGAAACTAGAAAGCGTGAGGCTGGTAAGCCTTTTATTGCTCGGAACCCGAAGAAGGGTTCCTCGGACTTCAAGACTGGTTCTACTAACCAGCAAAACAATTCTCAGCCTTCGGGCTCTTCGGCGCCGCTCACGCCGAAACCTAAACCCTTCTCTGGTGGAAAGCCTAACAACAATGGTAAGCCCCAGAACTCTTCGAATTCCGGCCAATCCGGCGGTCAGCGCCCCGCGTTCAACCATCTAGGAGCAGATGGTAAAGTACTTCCCTCCGAACGGGAGAGAAGGATGAAGAACAACCTTTGTCTCTTCTGCGGTGGTAAGCATCAGATTGCTGACTGCAATAAGCGAAAGGCCCGAGAATCGAAGGGCCGCGCTGCCGAGGTTAAAGGATCAGGTTCGTACCTCACCTGGGGAGTTATATCTCAACGCGTCCGCTCTTTCTTCTATTGAACGATCTCTTGTAATATCTTTGACTACTGAATTTCCTTTATCCGATTCGGCCGCGCCGGCCGAACCTATCTCTGCTCTTCTCAAATTTCCTACTCTTGTTGATTCTGGTTCTACTGACTCTTTCATTGATACTCGTTATGTTTCACAAAATTCTATTCCTACGACCAAAATCTCTCCTGTTAATCTTCGTCTCTTTGATGGTTCATTATCTTCTAAACCCATTACCGATATGGCGAATATCGCCGTTCGGTTCCCTTCCGGCGAGCTGCTTCTATTACCCTTTTATGTTACACATTTAGATTCATCTTGTAAAGCAGTACTAGGTTACAGTTTCTTATCCCGCTACAATCCGTTGATTGACTGGGCATCTCGAAACATTACGTTCCGTAACACTTCACACTTTGATTCTCCACAGACGTCTGTGCCTTCTGCCGTCAACACTGTTGATGCAAAGGTCGCTGTTCCGCTACCGGAACCTTCGCCGTCGGTTTCACCGACAATTCTGGAGACCCCTCCTGGGGACTCACCTCGCTCTCGCTCTCGCTCCCGCTCTCGGACCCTACGGGCCAAGCCCCTTTCGTCCAAATTTCCCTTTGAACCCATCTATTCTTACCCTACGGTCTCTCAATTCGCTGCTCAACTGGAAACTCCCGAGGTCGACATTGCACTCGTCAGTGCTGCAGTCTTTAACAGGGCTTGCAAGGACGCTGGTATGGAACCGATTCTACTTCGTGCTATCCACTCAGAGGTCGCGGCCCGCGCCGCCGACCGCTCTTCCGCCACTCCTACTATCCCTCCACTCCATCCTTCTATCCCAGAAGAGTACGCGGAGTTTGCAGACGTCTTCGACGAGATTGCTGCAGATTCACTTCCTGAACATAGACCTTACGACCTGAAGATTGACTTGGAAGAAGGCGCTTCGCCGCCTCTCGGCCGTATTTATCCTTTGTCTGAAAAGGAGTTAGTCGCCCTTAAAGACTTTATTGACAAACAGCTGGCTACTGGTGCCATTACCCCATCATCCTCTCCTCACGGCGCTCCGGTCCTTTTTGTCCCGAAGAAAGACGGCAAACTTCGCCTTTGCGTCGATTTTCGTGGACTCAATCGTATCACCAAAAAGGATCGTTACCCACTCCCACTCATATCAGATCTCCTCGACGCTCCGAAAAGAGCTAAAATATACACCAAATTGGATCTCGCCCACGCTTATCATCTGGTCAGAATCGCTGAAGGTGACGAATGGAAAACCACCTTTCGGACCCGCTACGGCTCTTACGAATGGAAGGTCATGCCGTTCGGCCTTACGAACGCCCCTGCGGCTTTCCAGCGGTTTGTTAATGACATCTTCTCTGACATGCTCGATGTCTGTGTCATCGTCTATCTTGACGATATTCTGATCTACTCTGATACGCCAGAAGAACACCGAGAACACGTTAAGGAAGTCCTTCGGCGGTTACGGAAACATCGGCTTTACGCCAACCCCGAGAAGTGCGAATTCAATATGGATACTGTTGAGTATTTGGGTTATATTCTTTCTCCCGACGGATTGACTATGTCCAAGGAGAAAGTTCAGACCGTTCTAGAGTGGCCGGTTCCGAGGAAGGTTAAGGACATTCAGTCCTTCCTGGGTTTTGCAAACTTCTATCGTCGTTTTATTTATAATTACAGTGATATCGTTGTGCCGATGACTCGGCTTACCCGAAAAGGCGCGTCCTGGATCTGGGACAGCAGCTGTCAAGAGGCCTTCGAAAATCTGAAAATCGCTTTCACTTCTGCGCCAATACTGGCCCATTGGGAGCCGAATCGCCCACTTATCGTGGA